CATTGTTTTATGCCACATTCTTTTTATCCCTTCATCCACTGAAGGACATTTAGCTTGATTCCAACCCTTGGATATTGTACATAATGCTGCAATGAATATGGGAGTTCAGATATCTCTCCTGCATACTGGTTACATTTCCTTGGGTATGGATGTCCCAGTAGTTGGATTACTGGATCATATGTTCTATTTTTAATTTTGTGAGGAGTATTCATATTTTCCCATAATGGCTATACAGATTTACATTTCTACCAATAGTGTAAATGGGATCCCTTTTCTTTATGTCTTTTTACTAACCCTTATGTTTTGACTTAATGATAATGGCCACTCTAACAGTTTTGAGGTGATGTCTTCTTGTAGTATAGATTTGCATTATCCTGATGATTAATGATATTGAACATTTTTCCATATGCCTCTTGGTCATTTGCATATCTTCTTTGGAGAAATATCTATTCGGGTCCTTTACCCACTCAGTGCCAAGAACTGAATTTCTAAACCTTGCATTAATGACATCTCAGACCAGATAATTCTTTGTTAAAGGGATGCTGCCCTTTGCATTATAGAATATTGAAGCATCCCTGGCCCATATTCACTAGGTACCAGAAATACCTCATACCAGTTATTATAATAAAAAAAAGGTCTCCAGACTTTGCCAGATGCCCCTACTGTTGAAGGAGACCTTCCATGGTTGAGAATGATGACTTTGAAGAAATCAAAAACCCAAAGGTTGATTGTTTTCTTTGATATGTGGAAGCTAACCCAAATAAGTGGAGTGGTGGGAGAGAATAGAAGTTTGATGAAATAGACAAGGAGAAAAAAGGGAAGGGAGGGGGGCCAGGAATAGGAAGACAGTGGAATGAATTTGACACAACTTTCCTGTGTACATATCTCAATATATCACAGTGAATCTCACCATTGTACAGCCACAAGAAATTAATAACAAAAAACTAACTGGGTTAATGGCAGAAAGATCAACAGAGGGAAGGAAGAACAGGTAGAGAATGGGAAGAGGAAGGATAGCTACTGAGGTCTGAATCAGACTCCAGTATGCTTGTATGATTATATCAAGATTGATTCTTCTATCATGTATAACTAAAAATTTTTAACAATAAAATTTTAAAAAATAACTTGATAGGGAAAATTATGGGGAACTTTCTTTTTCTTTTCTTTTTTTTTTTTTGGGGGGGATACTGGGGATTGAACCCAAGTGTTCTTAACCACTGAGCCACATCCTCAACCTTTTATATTTTTGAGACAGGGTCTCACTAAATTTCTTAGGGTCTTAGTTGCTGAGTCTAGCCTTGAACTCATGATCCTCCTGCCTCCCGAGCCACTGGGATTACAGGAAGGCATTTTCTTTATGAACTACAATTATATATTATGAAGCTGGTCAGGATTCATAAGGAGCAACCATATTGAAATAATAGTATCTACAGTACCCACCTGCATGAGAGTCTAAAAACCTTTATGAATAGAATGTAATAAAATACCAATCTCATAGCAGAACAAAACTCTGCATTAAACCAATAAACATGAATTTAAAATGTAGAGACTTCCAGAATACTGAGTTAATGATTGAGTGTAGTTTTGTTGTGCACCGGAAGTGCTCTTTTAACAGTCATTTGTGTGATAAAATAGCTGTTTCTAAATATTGAAATGAGGAAAATAAATTGGATGTATAATAAAGTATATTTGGCCAGAGGAGAAGCTACTATATATAAAATCGTCAGGGGAGGCCTCTCTATGTTCTTCATGATAAGAACAAGATCATGTAAATAATAAGAAAAGAGTATTTAAAGCACAGATAATAGTAACTTCAAAAATTATTAGGCAAAACTCCTCATAATTGTTTTTTTGAGTAATTCTGAGTGTTTTTGGAGTGTAATGTGTGTGGGAGACAGAGTAACAGAGATGAAGCTGAAAATACAGAGAGGAGCCAAATCCTACAGGGCCTTCATAGGCCATCACAGAATATAAAGGACATTGTAGTAGGTGTACTGGGGAGTGCTCTGAATGGTTTGGATGTTGGATGTGCTCCAAAAGCCCACATATGAATAGAAAGAATCAACTTACTTGAGCTGAAACTTCTCTGCAAACCAGTGCTAAGCCAGGGAAACCAGAACTGTAATTGACAATTGCTTGGGCATGGTATAGACAAGTGTCAGAGGTAAAAAACTGTATGGAATTAGTCTTCAGATACTACATAATTCTGTGAGTTTTACTTCTTAGAGTTTTATCACATTCTCACAGTTAACAGTAAAGAAAAACTCCTTTATTTTTCAGCAGGAAGAAGATGGAAGGCTTGGTTCCAGTGTGCCACTGTTAGGAGGCAGTGGAATCTTCCCTGTCCTTGTCTATTCAAGTGTCACCTCCATTACAAAACCATCTCTTAGGCAGTAATTAGGAGTTCTTCTCTCCTCCTGTTTCTCCAATTTGGGGACAGTGATTTGCCCTTTACTCCCACTTTTCTTATGAATCTTTTAATTTGTTCATCTTTATGCTTGTTAAGCGTGGCAACTTTCATGCTGTTAGTAGAAACCAGAAGCATGAGTGCCTTCTTCAAACTACAAAACTCTTTATCCTGGTTCTGGCCTTTTGGAAAGTTGCTTTCTAGGAGTAATTGTATGTCAAAAATATTTCCCAAATCCTAAAATATTGTTGGTGAGTCACTGCAAGAAGTAAGAGCAACACAAACACACAGCCAAAGGAACAAATCAAGGGAGAAAAGGTTTTTTTTTTTTTTTTTTGAGTATGTGAAAAGAAGTCAAATATTTTCTTTAGGTCTTGAGACATGTGGACACACTTTCAATTTCTTTTCTGTTTTGTTCGGATTTTGGTTTACCCAACGGAATGACTGGCAAACTCATCAAAACCCATTATTTCTAATTTACTTCTGCTTGTTTAATGCAGTGATTATAAACACTGCATGACAATCTGTTTTGATCATTTAGACAACGAGTGGTAAACCAGAAATCATTGATTTTTAAAAAAGGGGGTTTGTTTGATTGCCCTTAGTGTTGATATGACTTTCTTCTGTAAGTTTCAGTTTCCCTCAGATGGTTGATCAGAAGCATAGTTGGATTTATCTTAAAAATATTGTGAAATATTTAAACACATACGGAAATTATAGAGAATAACAAAATGACACTCATATCTAGCTCCTAGCTGTATCAAATTGTAACACTTTGAGATATATGCTTCAAATAGTTTTAGGGCAATAAAATATTTCAGATACACTTGATTTCTGTGTGAACCTTCTAGATCTCACCTTCTCTTTACTTTCCAGAGATTGTAATCACTGAGTATTTATTGCATTTGTATGTTATAGTATCTATGTGTCCATAGATAAAACATATATACATCGACATGCATATATTTTTGCTGTTTTAAATAGATTGCTAATATATTTCTTTTTCCCATGCAGGAGAATTTCCCTGGGGTATATATCTAGATAGGGGCAGGTGGGTTGTCTTCAACTTAGATATTGCCAAAATGCTTTCTCAAGTATTTATATCAGTTTACAGCCCACTCAGAAGCACATGAGCATTTTTGCTGCCCTACATTTCACATTTTTATTTATCAGAAGTTGTATTACTTACCTTTGTGTCACTGTGACTGTACACCTAGGACGCTCAACCTAAACAGAGGGAAGATTTACTTTGGCTCATAGTTTTCTAAAGTTGAAGCTCATGGGCACTTGGCCCTTGCTTTAAGTTTGTGGTGGCCCCAGTACATCATGGCAGGCATGTGAGACAGAAGAGGCCTGTTCAACTCAAGGTGTCTGGGAAGCAAAGGGAGAGACATAAAGTGATGCCAATATCCCCTTCAAGGGCATGCCACCATGGTCTAACTTCCTTCCAGTAGGCTTCACCTCCTCACTGTTCCACCACCTCCCAGCAGCAGAATCTGCTGGGGACCAAGCTCTCAACACTTGGGCCCGTAGGGGACATTCAAGATCCAAACTATAGCAGAAGTTTTAATTTTTATTAATCGGATGGGTATGAAGTGTAATTCATGGTGGGTTTAACTTCCATTTTATGGCACATACACAGAGAGAGCTCTTCGTAGCCCCTCATTGCACCGTACTCGTCTTGCTGTGTTGAGAATATTCAAGAGAGGTTTCTCTGTCAATTCCTACTTGTTTCCTGTAAGAATCTTCTATTGTAGGATCATATTCACCCACAAAGTGACTCTGAATTAGCTGTATTGTCAAGGCACTCTTGTCGATGGCACCAGCTCCAACTACTATAGTATAAACTACAGGTTTATCCTCAGTCCTTCAGCAGGCCTGTGAGCTGGGAGCCTGCCTGCCGCTGCCTTCCCTGCGGCACTCGCTCATGCGCAGTCCGCCGGGCCCGGAGTACTGGCCCAGCCTCCGCTGATCCCTGTGTTTTTTACTAGCGAGAGGGAGCATCTTTGCCTTGATTTATCAGTTATTCAGATTTCCTGTCCCGGAAACTGCTTGTGTATATTCCTTACTCATTCTCTATTGGGTAGTTAACTGATACGTACAATTTTTTTAAAAAAAATAAAGAATAGTTCATAAAGTGTAGTTTTGTTGTACACCGGAAGTGCTCTTTTAACATTCATTTGTGTGATAAAATAGCTGTTTCTAAATTGTAGTTCATTTTTTTCTTATTTTGTCTTTTATGGAAATAAAAAATTCTGAACTTCAATCATTTAGATTTACCTTCATGGTTTGTGTCTTGTTTAGAAAACGGCTCCTTAATTCTAAATCATAATGATGCCATTATATTTTTTTCTAAAGTTTATTTTTTATATTATCTATAATCAAACTTAATGATTATAAATTGTGTGCTTATGGTTTGGACATGTGTCCCCTAAAGGACCACGTATTGAATGCTTAGTCCCCAGGGTGGTGCTCTTGGGAGATGGCGGAACCTTTAGGAAGTGGGTCCTAGTGGGAGGTCCTTGGGTCACGGAGGGAAATTCTGGCCCCCCCCCTTTCTTCTTCTGGTCACACTCTACGGAAGTTTCTGAAGTGAGCGGTTTGCGGTGTTACTCGCTCGACACCACCGTCATCTGACAACACCACCTAAGGTCCAAGGCAAAGGGAACCTTTGATTTTAGACGGGAACCTCCAGAACTGTGAGCTAAATGAAACTTTTCTCTTATAAGTTAATTATCTCAGGAATTTTATCATAATATAATGAAAGTACGAACTCGTACTATGAGGTTAGTATGACTTTTTTTTAACTTGATAAACAACTTTTCATATTTTTAATTTATTATGACTAGATCTCTTTTTTTAAAAAAATGTATATATTTTAGTTGTAGTTGGATACAATATCTTTAATTAGTTAACTTATTTTTATGTGATGCTGAGGAGCGAACCCAGGGCCTTGCCCCTGCTAGGCGAGCACTCTACCGTTGAGCCACAACCCTAGCCTCCATGATTATGTGTCTTACTTTTTATCCTTTTATACACAAGTCTATTTGTGGATTTCTTATTGTACTGGTCTATTTATCTACTGTCTTAATGATAATTTTTAATATTTTGTGGAGAAAAATCTTTGTTTTTGAAAATTTGATTTTTGTCTTTTTTTTTTTTGACTTTCTGGCATTCTACATGAATTTTTAGTATCTTGTCAGATTTAACATAAAACAACCAGAATATTGTGGAATAAAACTGATTTTATAGATTAGTTTTAAAGAAAATTGTTATCCTTAAATTTTCTCCTGTAGGACTGTTACCTATTTATTCAGATTGGTAATGTTCATCTATAATTTTGTTTCAACTTTTCTCGAAAAAGTGTGGAATATTTGTATTAGATTAATTCCTAGGAATAGTATATAAATTTATTCCTATTATAAAGGTGAAATATTTACTCCTTCCATTTTAATTCATAGTAGTATATATTCAAGTTATTAATTTTATTTGTTGGTAATGTATCCAGAAACTTTGCAAAAGCCTTTTACAAGTTTAATACGTTTTTTGGACATTCTGTGGAATTTTCCAAAAAATTATCTCATTGCTGATATAATGGAGATACCAGCACCAAAAAGGAATAATTTTGTATTGAAGAAAAGTCAGAAAAGGAAGCTTATCTCATTGCTGATATAATGCAAATAATTCTAAAGTTTCATCATTTCACATGAAGGTAGAAGGAAGCTGGAGGAAGTTCCATTCTATCTTTAGTGCGTTCTTATTATGCAAAGTATTTTATGATAAATAAAAGCTTTTATTTGTTATGTGCTTTTATTATGAAATAATTCCTTTGTTATGCGTGTTAACTTAAATGAGTATTTTTCTCCATCTACTGATGAATTTCAAGAGATCATACATATGTCTTATTCATTTTGCTAATATAGTGAACAAAATTGAATATTCTGATTTTGAGTTATCTAAGAATTCTTGGGACAAAACCTATTTGGTTTTGTATGTACTCCGACTTTTATTTCTTAGTATTTAATTTAGTATCTTTGCATATATATTTAAAGATAAATTGGTCCCTTTTCTTGAACTCTGTTTTATTGGGCTATACTTGCATGGTTTAGGCATAGAATTTATAGTAAACTCATAAAGTGAATTAGATGATTATTCCAACTTTTCTATTACTTAAAACTAGTTTATGAGATGGGAATTGCCCAATTTGGGGAAGTTTGGTTAAAATCATCTCTAAAGTTACTTGGGACTTGTTCCTTTGAGATAAAGTGACCTTTTTTTAAATTTCTTGAATGGTTTTCTTTTTTATTAGGTTTTATCTTCTTGAGTCAGGGAAAACTATTCTTTTCATCTGAATTTTGATAGATTTTGTTCATAGTAACTCTTATGATTTTGAATTCTCTATTATCTTTTAGACTGTATATCAAAATGCATTTTATTTCTATTTTTAAAACAGGAAGACATATAGACCCCAAGTATACATCACCTAGTACAACCACTTCTTCACTATACTTCAATCTAGGTAAAAACCCTTATCAATCATGTTATCTTCTAGTTTCTTTACAAGAAAGACTGAATCCAATTTGTTGAGTTTTAAAAATTTAATACTAAGCATGGTTTTGCAGTAATTTTGCATTTTTACATAAATACATGATTTCTTCACCAGAATAGTATATTTTTGTCAGATTTAGAGAGTATGTCACCATGTAATAACATTTTCATAAAACAATTTCTAGGCAATTGGTTCATAATAATTAATTGGATTATAAAAGACATAGAAATGAGGGAAGGTCTGGAAAGTGAAAGATGAGAGTGGTAAGTGCCAGGTAGATATTAAACAAAATGAAATTTTAAGAAAAGTGACATCTTGGGCTGGGGATGTGGCTCAAGCGGTAGCACGCTCTCCTGGCATGCAGGCGGCCTGGGTTCGATCCTCAGCACCACATACAAACAAAGATGTCGTATCTGCCGAAAACTAAAAAATAAATAATAAAAAAATTCTCCTCTCTCTCTCTCTCTCTCTCTCAAAAAAAAAAAAAGTGACATCTTTTTGATTAATATTTCGTTACCAGACATAGCATGTCAAAATTAACTCTGGAATCTGTTTTGATGAAAAACCACTAGAAATGAATACCGCTAAGTTAGCAGACATTTAAACAATTTGTTCCTTGACAAAAAGGGTGCTGTTTTCTTTTCTCTGATCCCCCGAATACTAATGGTTCAAATGTCTCTATAATATGAATTGCCTATTTTTTTTAGAAATTTTATATTGTGCTTCACATTATTTGGAAAAATAAAAAAAATAAAAAAAATTTCTAGGCTGTTTGTCAGATTGCAAGCAAGGTAATTTATTTATTTTAAAATTATAACACTGAATTTAATGAAATTCCTATTCTTAAAAATAGCATTAATTATTTTGACTATTACATCGACAAGGAATACATCATGTTGATTTCCTTTTAATTTCTGGGAATTACTTGAATTGCCCACGTATTATTTGTAGCACATGAAAGCAGGCTAGGGAAAATGAACTAGAGAACTCCTTATATCACATTTTGTGATATGAATCTTCAAGGCAAAGGCAAGGTTTGGAATAGATGAATTCTGGTTTTCATCTTTCCAACTCTACTACATGCTTTTATGATTCTAATTTACTTTAAAAAGGAAAGAATATGAGACATCTGCTATGGTTAGGTAAGTGTCCCCAAAGGCCCATTTGTTAAAGACTTGGTTGCCAGTCTGGTGGTTATTTGGAGGTGGTGGAGTATTCAGGAGGTGGGACTTCATTGGAGAAATCAAGGGTCCCTGGGGATGTGCCTTGAAGAGGATATTGGGACCTTAGGCCTTTTCTTTACTTTATTTGCTTCCTGGCCACCATGAGATGAGTGGCTTTCTCTACCACATTTTTTCGTCATGATATACTGACTCACCAAAGGCCCCACAGCAACAGCCTTATGACTAATGGCTGAAATTATACTATAAGCCAGAATAAACCTTTCTTCCTTATGAGTTGATTATCTCAGGTATTTTGTTACAGTAATAGAAAAGCTGACTAACATAGTATTTTGACTTTATTATCCTGGATGATGGCAGAGCTTTTATAACATTTTTGTTTATTATTTCAAAGGAAAGTGTATTTAAGAATTTTTTTTGTTCTTCTGCTTTACCTTTATCTATACATTCCCATGATTTTGGTTTCTCCATTTTATTTTTTTTGTTTTTAATTTAATTTTATTTTTGTTCCCATTTTGATGCCTTTCTCATTATTTTTTTTATTTTTATTTTCATTTAAGTGAGTTCCTTTGGAAAGAACATGAAAAGCATTAATTGTTTTTACTATGGCTTGGAAGACATGTCTTCCTAGACAATTTCTATAAAATATAGTTGGGTGAAAATAGAAAAAAACTCCTCAAAATTAGGCAGTAGTTTGCTGTATAATATGGTTGAAATTATTTAACCACTCTATCTTATGGGATAAGTAGTTTTCTCATAGGGTCATTGAGAAGAACAAATAAATTAGCTTGTGTAAAGCATATATTTGCCATTGAGCCTAGGTTTTAATTGATTCTCTGTGTAAACAGAGCCATTTCAAGGTTTTATGGTTAGCACAGTAAATTGAGAATCCCTCATGTGAACACACCCTTGATACATTCATTCTGAACCAAAATTATATATTTCTACACTTATTCTGAAACACTTAGGATTAATTTCTGTATATATTCTTTTATTCTTGATATAAATAAATCCTTGAAATTCCCCTTAGAAACCGAGCCTTTCCTCCCCAGTTTGACTTTCTGATTTGCCCTCTGAGAAATGCTGGGGTCTGACTCTCAGTTTATTTTTGGAGGCTATATGGGTAGAAAACTGAAGGCCCTGGAAAGTTGACATTGCCTTGCCAATAATCACCTCTAGTGAGGTAAGTTCACATTTTCAAGCTGAGAGGATCCATCTCTTCAGTCCGCTTTTTTCAGATATTTTCAGTTTTCTATCTGACATTTTGTATTCTGTTTCTCAAGATTCTAATTTTTCCTAGTCAGTGCTTTCACAACCTTCAAATAAGAGATTGACTGAGATTGAGAATCAAACCTTCATTTCAGTTAATATATGTGAAAACTGGTCTCCACCTGTGCTTTTTGATCACACCAACATTGTAGAAGTAAAGATTTCCGAGGACAGTTATATAAACTTCATAATTCTCTAATCAGTTTTGGATTCAGTTTAAAACCATGTTTCTGTATTTTCATTTCAAAGTTGAGTGGAATTTTTCAAAGTGACCACCCCATCCCATAATCCTTATGTTTTACATATCATACATATTATGCAAAGGTAGTCACCCCTTGATCTGTCAATGCTACATTTCCAATTGGCATTTTATTCCAGAAGAACACAGGTAATAATTCAAGTGTTCTTAGATTATCAGTATTGTAAGGTCAGGTGCCAGTGATCAAAAGGAGACAGATTAAAAGCAGCTGAACAAGGCTTTATTGAGATTCGCTCCCAGTGAGACCCTCAGTCCAACAGAGCTGTCCAGGGAAGTTGTGCCCAGGCTCATTCAGATTGGAATTTTATTGGGCTTAGGACAGGAAGGGAGGGCTTGGGGCAGGAAAGAGAGGTTTTTAGAGTCCCTTGTCCTCCTAGGGTTGGTTGGGGGATCTTGCAGAGATCCATGTCCTTTCGGTATTGGTCAGAAGACCCTGCTGATTGACAGATGGTTTTGAGGCACCATCACTGCTTGTCTGTCGGGGCCTGATTGGTTGCTCTGTGAGTGGCCTGATGCTTTGTTCCCTTAGCCACCTCAAACTGACCTAACAAGTAAAATATTCTTTAATGCTACCCAGATTGTCACTGCCCCAAATCATCCATGTTAGAAATTAACAATCTCAAATGTTCAAATTTGAAAATCTTGTCCACCCACACCAATTCAATGGCTCTTTAGGTTCTATTGCATATAGCAGAAATCTCTATGGATAGTTTATGGAAAAATAATATATACAGTACAGGAAATTTGATGCTTCCACAGTAATTGAATTGAAAGAACTAGAAAGCTAAACTCTGAGCTGGGCTTCTAGGGGAGGACTCCATGTAGAAAAAATACTGCTGTATTGGTCTGCCAAGGGTGCTTTTACCTCCACTGTGGTTAATAAGTTGGGATATCAGCAACCTGCTCCTACAACTGTTACTTCAGAATCTTATTGCTGCAATAATGATGCAGGACAGGACATTGCTACCTCAGGACCTGCTTCTAAATATACATGAAGTCAGGCAACTGGCAGTGGGCTGAAAAAGCAAACATTTCCATGATTGTGCTTGTAGGCAGGAGGAGCAGAAGTGTGGCCTGCACTTGCCTTCCACTTATTAACTTCCAATAATGCATCTTAAGCTTATGTCTTTGTTAGTACATTTAGGCCTACAGATTGATTTTAACAACCAAAGAAAAGCAATAAATCTAATCTTATTTAAGCACTTCTATAGGGATGGACACTTAGGTATTTTGTATTTTTCATGTATATAAATCATGCTGAAATTAACATCATTATACAGCCTTCTTAGGCATACATTTGAAAGTTTTTAGCCAGCACTGAAAAGAAGTAGAACTTCTAAATTAGCACACAGGCTTATCTTGAATTTTAATAGGTAATATTGGATCATTGAATTATTTCTATATGGCTGTTTCACACATAATGCTTAATAATATTTATTTTTACAAAATTTTGCAAATATTTGATATAATCAAACTTTAAAAATTTTCTAATTCTGGATGAAATGTTATATCTTATTATTTTAATTTGCATTCATCTGATTATAAGAGACTGTATATCTTTTTGTTTATTTAACATTTTTATTTCATCTCTGAATTATCAATTTACATTCTTTGGTCCTTATTTTTAATTTAGCTGTTTTTCATTTTCCACTTTGATTTGGTTTGGCATTAAATTGTCTGGACACTATAATTATTTATGTCTTTTACTTTTTATGACTTGTTTAGCAGGCCATAAACTAATTCTTCTGTATTTCCTTACTATACATTTATAGCTTTTTTTTTAAGTTTTGATTTTTAAAAAAATTTTTTAAAGAATTTTTCTTCATTTGTTCTAATTAATCGAACATGATAGCAGAATGCATTTTGATTCATTACACACAAATGGAACACAACTTTTCATTTCTCTGGTTGTATATGATATAGAGTCAAACCATATGTGCAGTCATACATGTACCTAGGGGAATGATGTTCATCTCATTCCACCATCTTTCCTACACCTGTGCACCCTCTTCTTTCCTCTTTCCTTTGCCCAAAGTTCTTCCATTCTCCCCATGCCCCCGCCCCCCAATTATGGGTCAGCATTCACTTATCAGAACATTTAGCCATTGGTTTTTTGGGATTGGCTTACTTTGCTTAGCATGATATTCTCCAACTCCATCCATTTACCTGTAAATGCTATGATTTTATTCTTTTTTAATGCTGAGTAATATTCCATTGTATATATTTACCACAGTTTCTTTATCCATTCATCTGTTGAAGGG